ATGAAATACAATAAACCAGAATGAAAGACCCATCGACCGCGAATATCAGCACCGCAGGGACGCCGACATTTCACACTATCAGCACAGCCAGCAAGAACGGCAACGGAGGCTGCCAACTTTGGGTAAACATCACAGGGTCTTACGCCAAGCCGAAGGATAGCACTTGTATACTTCGAGCAGAAAGATTTCGCAGACTTCGCCTGCGACCACGCCAGGCCCTTCGTGAACTTCACAGCGGAAGGGTTTCAAGCACAACCTCTGGTCGCACACGCACCTCACCAACGGACGAAGGCACATATGCGATCGGCATGGTGGAAGAAGACACATGAGATCATCAAGAAGTGGAAGGACCCGACCAGGCCAACCATTAGACGGGTCAACGCGAACGAGGCCCTCGGCAGCATCACGACAGCAGCGGTGGGACCGAGACATCCAGAGGCAGAACCCACAGAAGGATCAGCACTACACGACATCGTGCTCGACGACGGGTGGATGGCACCGTCGACGTTCATGGGCGGCGCGAAACTACCGGCAACCACATGGGCAATCGCGAACGGCAAGCCCAAGAAACGCAACGACTACATAGTCATCCCGCAGGCATGGACACACGTCGCGACAAGGACAGCTGTATACCATTTGTTAGAGCGCGCGATGGCGCCCGAGGAACCCGACATGATCACGTTGACGTTGGAAGCAGGCTTCGACAGAAAAAGGGGATTCAACCAGCTGAGGATGAAGGTAAACCCGAACGGACCAAAGGACCCCGAGACGATGAACACCCACATCAAAATGATCAATCAGATCTCTATGCCGACGTGGAAGGAGCCACAGAGCACTGCGGAAGCATCCACAATCAGATCTGCCAGGCAGCAGTAGCAGCGTTTCCACGAGAAAACCCGACCGATGGCAACATTGGGTATCATAGCAGACGGCTCACTCCACTTCTACTCGATCGGACACACGCAAGGTTGTCAAGACAGTAACATGCGGCGCCAAGAAGCTCGTTGGAAGCATCATGTCCGAGGCCTGGAAGCACCAGAAAGCGGACAACCACAACATCGAGGACGCCGAGCATACAGCCTTACACAACTTCCTGACTATCATGGTGGCGGGAACAACCCAAGCAACCGAACACCTACAGCGGATCCGCAAACTGGAAAGACGGAACTACTCAAGGATACATCAACCGATACAGCATGGAACACGCACTACACATTACCACCCTCACGACGGAAAAGGGCAACTCCAAGCATCGAAACTGTTTTTGACATCGCGGACCTCCTGAACATGTCCAGCGCGACGACGAACCATTTCATCGCAGAAACATCGTACTGGCTAAAGCGGGCCATGGGCACTCGACAGGAAAGAGCATATAGAAAGTAATGCAAGCCGCAAAGAACGCGAAAAGGTGTATCGCATGCTAAGAAGCCTCACTCCACCAGCCAAGAACAAAAAGGAATACTAACTTCAACCAGCCGATCGCCATGCTCGAAAGTAAAAAACGGTACACTGGCTACTACATCGAAGGAGATCACGGACTTGTGACAGAACCACTTCGCGGAGCAGGAGCTGGGAGACATCCTCAGCGTGCACACCATGCTCAAGACGTAGCCCAAACACAAGGCAAACAATATGCAGTACAACGGCCAGCTGCCCATCGAAGTATTGGCTGCTCTCAGAGAATTGGAACAGTCTTTCGTACCGAGCAAATCTGCGGAAAGTGCATGACCTGGACGGCTTACCATCAGAGTTGTTCAAAGAAGCGCCAGCCAAGCTCGCCCAAATCATACATCCTTCGGCAATCAAAATGGGACTGCGGCTGGCCAAACCCCTACACGGGTGAAGGGGATCGTTCTCTAGACTGCACAAGGCGAATAAGTCGACACAGAGCACGAGGTCCGGCAGAGGTATACGACTCAGCGAAACGATGTTCCAAAGCAGTCCACAAGATGTATCGGTCGAAGCTACTGCCGAACGGCGAAGCATATGCCCCGACAACAGAATGTGCAGGCGTCAACCACCGAAGGGCCGACTGGCTGCTAGACCAGTGAGCCACATAACGAAACCTAAGTATGGCAAAGGTACTCATGGACATCGTCGGTGCCTTCTACAGCGGGCTGCGCCAACTCGTCGTGGATTTGAACACCAACGACGAGGCCATCACCACGCTACTGCAACGACTCGGACTTGGACCAGAAGCATACACTCGGCTTGCAAACAATCTACACCAGCCAGACATCATGCACAGCAAAGACGTCAACCCGCTCCTGGCTTCGATGGTGGCAGAGGCGCATACAGATACATGGTTTGCATCGGCAGATTGTGACGACATCACTCATACCACTTGCGGATCGGGACCAGGGCATCCACATGGAGATATAGCTTCTTATTCGCAGACGGTTACGCCCCTGCGTCCCTTATACTTCCCCGGCAGCAGGCAGTTGCAGCGCCAAAAATGCTGAACGTGAATGAATGCTACAATGGATGTGTGAAGCATTGCACCAGCTAATTCTCCGTGAGCCCCGTCTTAAGCGCCGTAGCTTCGGCCTGAAATGGGGATGCCCAAGGCCCCACATGATGCGAACCGCACCCAACCCGACGGAAATGGGGCTGGCCATCGTCTTGGGCTTCGAGAGCAAATATAATCTACCCTATCGCCCCCTGGCCGGCACGCACGCCCACATCGGCGCGGAGCTGAATCTTTGGACAAATCTCCAACGTCTGCTTCAGCTGGCTTGTTGACTTTCAAAAGGCAGAGCGCGTGGAGAAAGCATAACACATCCTTCGTCAAGTGGACATGGCAATCAAGACTGGTTGGCGTGGGCAAAAGACAATGCGCACCACAAACGGCGAAAAGCCGATCGACCTTACGGAAATCATCTGCGCTGACGACACCTTGTACCCCGTGTTGAGCACAGCCGACCAGATCACCGAGAAGACGGCCAGACTCACCCAAACCCTCATTGACGAGTTCACCGAGGCCGGTGTGAAGCTTAATATGGAGCCAGGAAAGACCACAGCAATCGTGCAGTTCAGAGGGCCTAGTGCAGTACAAGCACGACGCGACTTCTGGCTGGCCAACCACCGTACCATCAAGGTGAATCCGAAGACTCAAGGAAACATACTTATACGTAGTTCGGAAGGATACTCATTACGGCTGGATCCAGACAGACTGGGACTATCATTCCAGAACTTGTCGTACGCGAGCGAGTCCTGAGATGCGAGATCAGATGCATGCGCAAGCAGGTTTTGCGCCAGCCCCGTCATTGACACTGAAGCAAGAGTGGCAATCACCAACATAGTGGTGATGAGTGCCGCCCTACACAATACAGCAACTTGGCCAACGCTGGACAAACAAAAATATCCTAGGTGAACAGTATGGTCATGATGACATAACGAATTGCGACGCGTACGACTATCAAGAAAGGCGACGACCAGCACTACACAGATCAGCAGGTATTGGCTAAGGCAAAGAGACTCAGCCCAATGGACATATTACGAGTTCATCGGTTGCGACATTTGAGCAGCTTGTTACAGTGCAGCCAGAACGGAACCTTGGCATTACTGCAGGCAACGGCTGGTCACAAGCAATCAGGGGCAGCTCTCGTCATGACAGACCTCACCTGGCTACAACGTCATCGACGGCAACGCAGGAGCTGCCCGACCTCGTGGAGGACATGAAGGTTTGGGAGGACCTCTGCAGGCAATGGCCAACGGCTTGGAAAGGCATCTTTCGAAAGAACAAAGGAAGAATAGTGAGCCAACGTGAGGTCAGCCATCAGCCTAGCCCTGTGCCTCGTGTTGAATGCCCCTTGAAGTGTCACGACTGTGTAGCAGCTTTTAGCACGCCGCACATGATCGTATGCCATCGGGTCGCCAAGCGCGGCCTGCGGAGCATTGCATGCCCAGTAGCTGAAGACGGCACGTATGTGGCCTGCATGATGCACTTCTACACCCGCACGCGCCTCATCAGACATCTCACGACCAGTAGTCCCAGGTGTCTGTACAATGGCCTGGGCAGAGCTCAGAATGACGGACGAGCAGGGTCAAGAAGTCCTGCGCAGGGTCGGCTCGTGAGAAGCGAGCCCCGGCAACGCCCACAGATCCATACGCTCAGCACGCTTTGGCGAGCCCATTTCCTCGCTGGTCATTTCTCTTTTTTGGGCACGGTTCTCGCCGTGTTGTTCAAGTTTGATCCGGAAGGCGGTCGACCTCTCCGGTCGAGCAGTTCTCAACTCGCCTCTGCGCGACCTCTGCCCTTCTTCACTCGGGAGCACCCATTTCCGCGCTGGTCATTTCGGGTCGGGCGAAAGGGGGGGATAGCAAAGGGGGGGGTTGAGAATCAGCTCACGTAGCTGATTTTCCCGGCGCCTCCCGGCGCCGGAGGCGGCCAAGTATCGAGGAATGGGCCCCTCGGTGAGGCCGAAACCAGCTGCATGCAGCAAATTTCGTAACCCCCCCTTTCCCAATCCCCCCCTTTCCCCGGCCCGATCATTGGAGGAAGGGTGATCAATCCAACGCTCCCACGCGAGGGCTTCGCTCTCCTTCTCTTCTGACTGTGCGGGGCCCGGGCCCCGCGCACGCCCCACGGCGGAAGCACGACTGCGACCGGCCTGCTCGAGCCGAACGGCATGATCCTCCTCCTCCTCCTCCTCCTCCTCCTCCTCCTCCTCCTCCTCCTCCTCCTCCTCCTCCTCCTCCTCCTCCTCCTGGGTCGCTCAATTGTCGGGCCAGAACTCGGGTCTGCGGCGACCGTTCGGGACGATCCGGGCAGCCCCAGGACGCCCTCGGCGAGGCGCAGCTGCTGAAAGGAGCCCCGAGGTTCAAAACCGCCGGGAACCGAAGAAAACCTCGAACCTCCTCCTCCTCCTCCTCCTCCTCCTCCTCCTCCTCCTCCTCTTCCTCCTCCTCCTCCTCCTCCTCCTCCTCCTCCTCCTCCTCCTCCTCCTCCTCGCCCTTTCCCGAACATCCCGAGGGTGAGCGCCCCCCCTCCCCCCGTCCAGGGATATGGCGGCTATCCGCCTCGGCTGCGTCACGGCGATGCGAGCCTCGCGAGGAGTGCGGCGGGAGGGCAGGCGAGACGAGGGAGGGAGGGAGGAGAAGGAAGGGAGGGAGGGAGAAGGGAAGGAGAACGACGAGAAGGAAGGAGACGAGAGAGGGAGTGAGGGAGGGAGAAGGTGAGGTGAAGGAGGAGGAGGGAGAGAGGGAGGGGAAGGAGGGAGGAGGAGGAGGAAAGGGGGGAGGGAGGGACAGGCATACAGAGGTAAGCTGGAGGAAATGTTAACGGAGAAGGAGAAGGGGATGCAGGCGGACTCCATGAGGAGGAAGAGGGGCATGTGGAGAGGGGGGAGTGAGAAGGTAGAGTGGAGGAGATGCTGAAGGAGAAAGAGGTGGGGGAGGCAGACGTCAGGAGGAGGAAGGCAGGAAGGTGGAGGAAAAGGGAGGGGGTAGGGGACGAGAAGAAGGCGGAAGGCGGAGGGGAGGGCGGGAGGGAGGGAGGGAGGGAGGGAGGGGAGGGAAAGAGAGGATAATAACAAGAGGTAAGGGATGTCAACTGCACGAGGGGATGGATGATGAGAGAAGCAGGGGAGACACGGGCAGACGCGACGCGCCCCCGCAGCGCCGCGCGGCTCGCGCTCTCAAACATATGCCTCCCTCCCCTTCGCCTCCTCCGCCTCCTCCTCCTCCTCCTCCGCTTCCTCCTCCTCCTCCTCCTCCTCCTCCTCCTCCTCCTCCTCCTCCTCCTGCGCTTCCTCCTCCTCCTTGCCCTCCTCCTCCCTCCTCCTCCTCCTCCTCCTCGCCCCCCTCCTCCTCCTCCCTCCCCCTCCTCCTCGACCTCCACCACCACCTCCTCCTCCTTGCCCTCCTCCTCGCCCCCCTCCTCCTCCTCCCTCCTCCTCCTCCTCGACCTCCACCACTACCTCCTCCTCCTCCTCCTCCTCCCCGGCTGCCTGCGGGTCCTCCAGGAAGATCAGGGGCAGCACGGACGACTTGCCGCAGCCCGTCTCGCCCTGCACGCAGACGACCTGGGAGCGAGCGCAGGCCTCCTTCACCTCGGCGGCGCGGCTCGGCAGAGTCGCGCCACGCTGCAAGGCTGCGAGGGGCATGGGCAGAGGGCCGAAGCGATCGCGGCGCGACGAGGATTGCAAAAAAAAAACAGGATTGCAAAAAAAACAGGATTGCAAAAAAAAAACAGGATTGCAAAAAAACCGAAGGATTGCAAAAAAAAACCAGGATTGCAATCCAGGGTTTGTTTGCAATCCTGGGTTTTTTTGCAATCCTTCGGGTTTTTTTTGCAATCCTGGGTTTTTGTTTTGCAATCCTTCGGTTTGTTTGCAATCCTTCTGGCATTTTTCACCCTCCGGGTACCCTCACCAGGCCCCACGACGTCGAAGAAATCAGGGAAAGGGGTCCAGATCTCTCGTGGTCAAAAGCAGCCCGCCCGGCGTCCGTTCCTGGATGGGCTGGTGGGGATACGCGGAGCGTTAGGACGTTGCTTCCACGGCACCACGCGACACTGGCCACAACACGCCCGCGCAACGCGACCACGCCACTTCTACACCTCCCTGATCAAAACAGCTCGCCTGGCGTTCGTTCCTGGATGGGTTGGTGAGGATACGCGAAGCGTTAACACTCTTCCTCCACAGCCCCACATGACACTCGCCACAACACGCCCGCGCAACGTGACCATGCCGTTTCTACACTTCCCTGATCAAAACAACCCGCCCGGCATTCGTCCATGGATGGGCTGGTGACGATGCGCGAAGCGTTCTTGCCTCCACGGCACCACTCGGAATTGGCCACACCACGCCGGCACAACGCGACCACGCCGTTTGCAGACTTCCCTGATCAAAGCAACTTGCCCGGCGTTCGTTCCTGGATGGCCTGGTTGGAATACACGAAGCGTTAAGACTGTGCCTCCAGGGCACCACGCGACACTGGCCACAACACTCCCTCGCAACGCGACCACGCCACTTCTACACCTCCCTGATCAAAGCAACTCGCGCGGCATTCGTTCCTGGACGGGCTGGTGAGGATATACGCGAAGCGTTAACACTCTTCCTCCACAGCACCACATGACACTCGCCACAACACGCCCGCGCGACCCGACCACGACGTTTCTGCACTTCCCTGGACACAGCAACTCGCCCAGCCTTGGTTCCTGGACGGGCTGGTGGGGATACGCGGAGCGTTAAGACGTTGCTTCCACGGCACCACGCGACACTGGCCACAACACGCCCGCGCAACGCGACCACGCCGTTTCTACACTTCCCTGATCAAAACAGTTCGCCTGGCGTTCGTTCCTGGATGGGCTGGTGGGGATACGCTGAATTTGGCAGATACTTGGTGGGATCGAAAGTCAATGAGCTGATGCAGAAGTTGCCCCCATGATTGGCCCGATGTAGTTCTCGACAGTCGACAAAGTGATTTGGATAGACTGGTGATGGCATCGGCAGCCAGCTCGTCAGAGAGATCTAATGCTAAGGACAGGCAACAACTTCAAACGTTCAGAGTGCGATGCGGGATGGCGCCGCGTTCCCTATCTGCGCTTCTGGCAAGGCGCAAGAAATCCCTCATGAAGAAAATGCACTAAGGAAGCAATAATACGGAATCGGCATGGAAAAATGAGACCAGAGAAAAAAACAATCAGAGGCTGTGTTTCTTTACCAGGACAAGACTTGATCTTGCGCCTCCTGGACGACGACGGCGACGGAGGCGAGGACACCAACGTAATACTTTCGAAGGTATATGAGGTCGATTAGGTCTACTAGGCCGATTGGGGATGTAAAGCTATGGGGCTAGGGGGCTATCGAGCTATGGGGCTATGGGGCTATGGCTATAGGGCTAGGGCTATAGGGCTATGGGGGTACAGGGCTATAGGGATATAGGGCTATGGGGCTATAGGGCTATGGGGCTATAGGGCGCTATATGGCTGTAGGGCTATAGGGCTATGGGACTATAGGGCTTTAGGGCGATGGAACTCTAGGGTTATAGGGCTATAAGGCTATGCAGAGCTAGAGCTATGGGGCTATAAGGCTGCAGGGTTATAGGGATAGTTGGCTATGAGGTCATGGGACTATGGGGCTATAAGGCTACAGGGCTATAGGGCTCTAGGGCTATAGGGCTATTGGGCTATGGGGCTACAGGGCTATAGGGCAATAGGGATATAGGACTATAGTGCTATAAGGATATACGGCTACAAGGCTATAGGGCTATAGGGCTATAGGGCTATTGGGCTATAGGGCTGTAGGGCTACAGGGCTATCGGGCTGTGGGGCCATGGGGCTATAAGGCTGTATGGCTGTAGGGCTATAGGGCTATTGGGCTATAGGGCTGTAAGGCTATTGGGCTATAGGGCTATAGGGTCATAGGGCTATATGGCTATTGGGCTGTAGGGCTGAAGACTATCGGGCTATGGGGCAATCGGGCTATAGGGCTATGGAACTATGAGGCAGACGGGTACCCAGGCAACCGGGCACCCGTGCGGGGCGCCGAAATCGGCGACGCAACTCCCGGGCTCCCGGGCACCCCGGAGTGCCGCCGAAATCGGCGACGCAGCTGACCTAACCATATGATACCAGAGAAAAAAACAAATCCGAGTCTTTGTTGTTTACCAAGACAGGATTTGATGTTGCGCCTCCTGGACGACGACGGCGACGGAAGTGTGGACACCAACGTAATACTTTCTAGGGTAGATGAGGTCGATTAGGTCTACTAGACCTATTGGGGATGTAAAGCTATGGGGGTAGAGGGCTATCGAGCTATGGGGCTATGTGGCTATTGGGCTATGGTGCTATGGGGCTAGGGCTATTGGGCCAGGGGGGTATAGGGCTGTAGGGCTGTAGGGCTATGGAGCTGTATGGCTATGGGGCTATAGGGCGCTGTATGGCTATAGGGCTATAGAGCCAGGGCTACGGGACTATGGGGCTATATGGTTCTAGGGCTGTAGGGCTGTGCAACTCTAGGGCTATGGGGCTATGGGGCTATAGGGATATTTGGATATTAGGTTATGGGGCTATGGGGCTATAAGGCTATAAGGCTATAGGGCTATAGAGCTATGGGGCGATGGGAATATAGGGCTATGGGGCAATGGTGCTATCGAGCTATAGGACTATAGGGCTATAGGACTATGGGACTATAGTGCTATAGGCTATAGGGCTATAAGGCTTTAGGACTATAGGGCTATAGGACTATAGGGCTGTAGGGATAGGGCTATTGGGCTATAGGGTTATAGGGCAATAGAGCTATGGGGCTCTACGGCTATAGGACTCTAGAACTATATGACTATATGGCTATGTGGCTATAGGGCTATAGGGCTATAGGGCTATAGGGCTATTTGGCTGTGAGGTTATGGGGCTATGGGGCTATCGGGCTATAAGGCTATGGGGCTATAGGGCTATAGGGCACCCGGGCACCCAGGCGGGCCGCCGAAATCGGCGACGCAGCTCCCAGGCACCCCGGCACCCGGACTCCCGGGGGCACCCGGGCATGCCGCCGAAATCGGCGAAGCAGCTAACCCAACCATATGAATCTGCTAGGACCCCTATAGAAGCAAACTCTGATTAGGGAATGAATCCGCTAGGTCCCCTACAGAGGCAAGCTCTGATTGGGGAACTTTCCTGAGGAACCTTTACTGAAGAATCCTCAATAAGCATTCTTTACGACAGAATCCTTATTACGGAATCTTTACCAATGAACTCCTTAGTACGGAACCGTTTACTGAGGAATCCCGAATAAGGCATGTTTACCAAAGAACCCTCAATAAAGAACCTTGACTGGGGAATCACTGTAACTACGGAACCCTGAATGAGAAAACTTTGTGTTAAGGAAACCTTTATGAGGAATCTTCACTGAGACATCCTCAATAAGGAATATGTGCGGAAGACTTCTTACTACTGAATCTGTACGAACGAAATCGTTGATGATGAGCCTTTTACTAAGAAGTCCGTATCGTCAGGAGTTATTGTTAAAAAAAAAATATATTCGCTAAGGCCGAAGAACCTCGACTAAGGAATCCTTTAATAAGGCGTCTTTACTAAGGATTACATGTCTACGGAGTCCTTACTAAGGAATCCGTATTAAGGAATCTTTACTCAGGAATCCTCACTGAAGAAACTTCATGAACGATTCCTCACTTAAGAATATGTATCGAATGAACCTTAATGAGAAAAATGTCCAAACGAATCCTCAATCAAGAATTTCTCCTCGGGCACCCTTACGAAGGAATATGTGATAAAGAGTCCTTCTAAAAGAACTGCTATTACATCGTCGATAGTGAATATGTACCAAGGGACCCTTACTAAAGAGTCTGTACAAAAAGGACCCTTAATATGAGATCTTAAAACTCGTCCGGAATATTTACGAAGGAGTCCTTAAAAGAGATCTGTAAGAAAGAATATTATATCAGGAACCGTTTTACCAATAAGTCCTTATGCATGAATGGTTGAGAGGAAACAGTTTTTATATATGTATACAAAACAAATGAAAAACTGTCCTAAGGACTTCTGGGTGAGGAATATTTACTGAGGAATCCTACGGGAGGAATATGTTATGAAGGAATCCTTACGAAGGAGTTTTTAATAATAACTCCTTTACAAGAAGCCTTTCGTTTCTCAGAAATCCTTAATAAGGGAGCTTGCCTGATGACGCCGTAGTAAACAAATAGCTGAGGACTCCGTAGTGATAAATAAGCCTTGACTAAGGAACCCTTGATGATACATATATATATATATACTCAGGAACCCTTAAAAATGAATATGTACTCAGGAATCGTCAATGTGGGACTTCACTGATGAACCCCTTTGTAAGGAATGGTGACAATAATACGTAGTAAGGAACCTTGGCTAAGGGATCGTTAATAAGAGCCTGTATTCAGGAATCATGAATCCAAGGATACTTACGAAGGAATCCTTCATAAGGGACTTGTACTTGTACTAAGGAATCCTGAGTGAGGAACCTGGACTAAGAGATCCTTACTAAGGAACCTTTCCCGAGGAATCCTTAATAAGGAATCTGCACTAAAGAAAATAAGGAACCTTTTGCCAAGGAATCCGTACTAAAGAATCCTTGCTAAGGAGTCCCTGGCGCTGCCAGCTCCCTCAGGGAGCTGGGCCATGGGGGAAAGGCTCAAGGGGGTGGGGGGGAGCACCCCCCTGTCCCACGGGTTCTATTTTTTGTGTTCAGGCCCGCCCGGAAAAAAACAGTACAAATGGATTCAGGGACCCGCTTTTTTGGCTAGGACCTTGTCCCCAGGGCCAAGACTCCTCTCCGCCGCCACAAAAGGAATCAATGTGCACACCCCCACACACACACACAAAATGACGATGTTTCTAACCCCTGCACGAAGGAAATATATGTGTAACCCCCGTTAGTGTCCCGAAACCGCGGAGGAGGAAAGAGGTTGAGGGGGAGGTGGAAGACGCCATGCCTTTTTCCCCTTTCAAGCGCAGGGGGCCCGAACGAGCCTGAAACCGAAAGACGGTATGAGAAAAGAGGGGTTGCAATCCTGGCCTGTGATACAAACTCCTGGGTAAACAAAGGAGATGCTTCAATTGCAGCTCCAGGTTTCCCGACTCGTGCCCACCCCAGTCCGGGGCGCTGCGGCTCCATTGGGCGCGCGCGCGTGCCGCCGCCCGCGACTCGCGATTCGAGGGATTCCTGGTGGGCGCGCGCGCTTGCCCACCCATGTCGGCTCACGCCTCGCACGCTTCGTGCCTTTCATAGGGTGATGGGGATGGGCAGATTACCACCAGCACAACCACATGCAGGACGGGGGAGAAGGGAGGATGAGGGGGTCCTCCTCCTCCTCCTCCTCCTCCTCCTCCTCCTCCTCCTCCTCCTCCTCCTCCTCCTCCTCCTCCCTCTCTTAAACATGGTAGTGGTGGTGGAAACTGGGACCATCATGGGGAGCTCCACCTACGGCGTCAGTGGTGGCGCGGGCATGCCACCTGCCGCCCACTTCAACACGCCCGTCCCACGGACCGTGCTGCACACGGAACCGAACGACCACCCAGCGACGTGCAGTATATGCGACGAGAGGGCCACGCCCTGCACTGCACGCAGCTGCACGGGGTGCCCTTCGCTGGGATGTAGCTTGTTTCGTCCACGTCCCTCCTCCTCCTCCTCCTCCTCCCTCCTCCTCGTTCCCTCCTCCTCCTCGTTCCCTGCTCCTCGTGCTGCCTCGAGCCCGCCCCCGTGCCCGCCGCTCGCCGCCCCCCCTTGGCTCCGCGCCATGGCGGCCGCGGCACCTCCGAGGCGCTTTGCCGATCGTAACAGGGACTTGGTCACTAAGGGCGGGCAGAGCCTGCACTGCGTGCCTCGGCACGAAACAACATATCACTTGCAAATCAAAAGCTTCAGGGGCCACGAGATGCGTCCAAGTCTTCACGCTTCACGCCTCCTTTGCTGGCGCCGAAAAACTCTCGACCTCGCTTGAAAACTACGTGCTCCCCTCGACGGCCTGCTCCCGTTGAAGGCCATCGACTGGGAGGAGCAGGAGGAGAATGAAGGGCACATGCTTGCCACCGTGGACCCCCAAAAAGCATGTTAAATGCACCCGTGAATGTGCAAGCGCTGTGGTGCACTCTATGCGGCGCAAGCTATCTAGTTGTCTGTGGTGCCAGCTACGCGGTGCAAGCTCTGATGCAACCGATGCAGCGAAAACTAGGTGGTGCAAACTCTGCGGCGCAGGCCACGTGATGCAGGCTATGAGCGGTGCGAGCTGCGAGGTGCTGTCTGAGTTGCGCGAGCCGTGCGGTGCAGTGAGCTCTGCGGTGCGAGCTGCGCGGTGCACGGTGTTTACGTCGCTGCGTGGCGGAGGCGAGTGGCGGAAGCAGGCCGCCTGGCAGAAAACTCCGTGGTGCAGACAGACCGCGGCCGCCCGTGGCACGAGGCGCCCACGAGGCGCCGACGGGCGGGCCCGACGCGGCACGTCGGCACGCCCGCCCAGCGCACGAGGCGCCCACGAGGCGGCCCACGGGCGCCAGGCGGGCACGAGTGCGCACGGCGAGACCTAGGCACACCCCGCCCCAGCACGCGAGGTGCTCATTTGTTTTTCATTGAGCCTCTGCATCAGCGGTTGCCCGTCTACAGACAGCACTACAGAAGCACTATGCCTGCACAGCCAGCCAAGTGTCAACGCACGATGGCTGGAGTCCATCTAATGACAACAGAGGGTCGTGGACCCATGCTAGAGGCCTCCTAGATGGGGTCGGAGTAGATGGGGTCGGAGGATCTCGCCGCATCGCCGATACATCGGGGATGCATCAGCGATGCATCGGCGATGCGCCGGCGATGCATCGACGACGTCAGCGAAGCATCGGCGACTTCAGCGTGGGGACACACGGGCTCCACATCGAGCCGCATCGCCGATGCATCGGCGATTCGGCGCGATCCTTCGACCCCATCTACTCCGACCCCATCTAGGAGGCCTAGAATCTAATGACAACAGAGGGTCGTGGACCCATGCATAGACTGGGCATCACTGGACGACACTGGTGCACCCATTTCCTCGGGAACAACTTGTACCCCCTCCCCGCCACCCCGACGGCCCGTCCCCCCCCCAGCAAGTCCACGCTGCTGCAGCCGTGCCGCGTGCCCGAATTGCGAGGGCATTCCGAGTCTTCTGCTCCGCGAACGCCTCGCTCCTGTCCTTGGGCGTGGCTTAACGGGGGGGTCACAAATGGGGGGGTCAGAAACGGTCCCCTTTCGTGCCCCTTTCGGGCCCCTCCAGAGCCCCAGGGGGCTCGTTCAGGTACCGTTTGGGTACCTTCTCGGACCACTCTCGCCAACCCCCCATTTATGACCCCCCCATTACGCAACGCCCAATGTCCACATGGACCCCCCTCGCCGGGGCAGCGGAAAATCGGACGGCCAATCCGTCCACGGGCGCGCAGCATCGGAGCCCGTCTCGAGCGACGGAGGGCGGCCGCGGGGGCTGCGGCCCTCTGCCTCGGGGCGGAGCGAATTGCAGCAAGAGGGCAGTGGGGCCCTGCAGCCTGCGCGCTGCTGCCCCAGCACATGCACCTCCTCGGCCGGAGCACGGGAAGGGAGGGAAGGCGGAATCGACCCTCGACCGTCCTCACCACCTCCTTCCCCGCCCACCGCGCGGCGCTCAGCCCCGCGTCGGCCCGTGCCTGCCCGCACGCTGGCCGGGCAGCAGCCCCTCCAGGCAGCCCCCGAGGGCGCCGAGCGCCCGCAGGCCGCCGCCGCGGCCGCGGCCGCGCCGCGCCTGCGCGCGGGCGGGCTCCCGCGGCCGGAGGCCCTCGGAGGCGCCCCGGCCCGCGGCCGCTGGCTGCTGGTCGGGGCGGTCGCAGCGGCCCGCCTCACCGAGGCCGCTCAGCAGGGCCTGCCTGCGGGCGGGGCTGGGCGGGCTCCTCGTGGACCAGAAGGCCATCCGGAAGTAGTACTGCTTGCAGGAGTCCAGGTGCTTCTTGGTGCCGAGCCTCTCCTGTGCCGCGCGATCCAGGGTGTAGAAGGCCAGGTGGACGGGGGGCCCACCGCAGAAGGTGTTGAAGCCGAGGCGGAGCCCCGGGAGCACTCCGCAGATCTCCCACCTCACCTGGTCCAGGAACTTCGCGATGCTGAAGAACGCGACGGAGTACGTGTACCCTTCCCTGAACCGACAGGCCCTCACGGCCTCCGCGAAGTTGCGGTCCTTGCCACGCCGCAGGCCCAGCGACTGGAAGTCTGGGTCGAGCAGGCTGGGCGGCTGCTGGCCAGGAGGAGTCTCGATCACCTGGTCGATGGTCCAGATGGGCATCACAAACACGGGGCGCTCGACCTCGCCCGCCACCTCCTCGGGATCATCGCCCACGCTGTGGTGGAGCTCCTTGCCCACGGCCATCCTCATGGCGGACACCGTCGCGGCCAAGGCGTGCTTCGCACCCGCAGCAATGGGGACGTACTGGTCGTTCTCGATGCCGAACAGGAGCGGGCCGTCGGGCTCCTTCTTGATCCGAAGTTGGCAGCGGGCTTCCCAGAGGTGCCCGCGCCCCTCGAAAACCTCGGAATATTGGTACTCCCCTGACTTGTTCCGTGCCGGGTCGTTCGTCGGCCTGTGGAACGTGATGAACTCGCCCTCTGCCGTGTCGTTCGAGAAGGCCGCCAGCTCGTTGTCGTGGACCATGCCGCCGACGCCCTCGCCAAACTGCGAGAGCATGCGGCCCTGAATTCTCCACTGGCTGCGCGGGACGTCGACCTCGCCCGGCTCCCCGGCTGGCACCACGGGCACCACCGAGCGGCCCACGGCGCGCTCCGAGCAAACCTGGGCGGCCGCGGCAGCGTGGCGGCCTCGGGTCTTCAACGCCTCCTGTCTCTGCAGCCAACGAGCCACCAGCGCGCCGCACAGAGCGCCGAACGGGAAGAAGAGCCAGGCCCAGGGCGTCACCACCTCGTGGTGGCCCCCCCAGGCGTGCCGCAGCAGCCCGAGCATGTGCCGCGAGGCCGCGCGCCCGAGGCGCGAGGCTGTGGAGCCGCTCCGGCGGTTTGAGCCAAACTGGCTACGGAAGCACACGAGGTGTCCATGGTGGTGTTTGGTTTCTGTTATGGACGCGAAGCCCCGGCACACCAACCAGGTACCGTAGGGAACTCAACGGGGTACCCCAGAGGGCAAGCACTGCGTTGGGAAAGCTGACCCTTCGAGCTCTGTCTCCGACCCTGTCTGTAGAAAAATATTCCGTGGCTTCTGAAAGAGGACGGACTTGCTCTTTACAGGTCGAAAGATACTCGACCGACACCCGGCTCTCTCATCGCACGGGTAGAGAGAAAGAGAGAGAGAGAGATGAACACATGAAAGATACTCCTGGGGCCAAGAAGCTCTGTCTACACTGAGGCCACGTGAGCAGTTGAGAAATGCAATGAAGGCTACTGTCTGTAAGGCGAGCGTCGAGAGCAACCCTAGTACGGATGTGGCACCCTCACCTGGATAGGCACCGAGAGAAAAAACACGATAGTGGGTTTGGAAGTGCAGAGATCCGTCGAGCACACTCGGGCCATGGAAGTGACAGAAAGTAGAATGGTGGCTATGCTCGGGCCATGAGTGCGCAAGGAAAGCACACCTGTACCTCTCCTCCGCCCCCTTTCCTTGCAAATAACTCCTCCCTGCCGCACACACAGGACGTGTCGCTAGGGCGGGTCGGGCGTTTCGCCTAAGACTTTCTCAGCACGTCTGATCCTGAGTATTCATAGCTAGAGCCACGCGCGCTTCGCGAGCTTAGGTTCTAACAAGCTGTGGCTATATCCAACAGTGTGCAGCATCGGAGGGACGATTGCGAACCAGACGCGCGTCATGAACAACGCAGCGTCCGAACTTTAAGCGAAGGTTGTCCCCCCTGCTTGCCCCCACTTGTGCAACGCGATGAATCCAAATCGCCGCGTATCCCCCTCAAAACCTTCCATTTCATCTCCACCCCTTCTTCCTCATCCCGTGCCTTCTCTGTCTCTCCCTTCCGTCGATCCACCAGCCCTCCCGCCGTTCCTCCGAAGCACGTCTTCATTCGCTGCCGCTTGCGGCAGATTCCGACACCACCGTCTTGAGGCCGTCTCGAAGGCCTTTGGAAGGAGCTTGTTGAATGCCTGTCACGGTCTCGGGACGCTGCTTGGCGCGGCGATCCTTCGCCTCTGCTCTGTGGCTCACGCCGTCCACCTGCAAATCGGCCCAGCAGCATGACACGCCCGTGCGCGAGCGGCATGCCAAGTGACCCGCTGAAGACTCCCCGCAGCTCAACAGTGAGAAGTAATGGGAAGTAGACTGTAGACGGTAGGATGGAGAGAGAACACGAGCGCCAAGCTCCTGAGCATTAGTGAGCGGAAATCGCTGCGCTGAGTGGAAGCAGACATCACCTGCAAAGCTCTTCTGTCTAATTCTGCTCGGCCCGATAGCAGAGCGCAGCACAGGCGTTGCTGCCTGCAGGCGGAGGTCACCTGCGAGTCGGCAAAACGGCCCGACACGCCCGTGCGCGAGTGCGCGAGGTCGCCCGTGCGCGAGTTGGCTCCAGCTCCCAACCCCTGGCCGGGGATTGCGAGGGCCCACCAGCTGGACGCTTGGCGCTGGGGGCCGCGCGGGGCTCGGCGGCGCACGCGGGGCAGCCACGCCGACGCGTGGCACCCGGGGGGGGGGGGGGCCTACAATTGCCTGGCTCTGCCTCCCGGGACCCTGCCCTCCTGGCTTGCAGGGGAGTGGCTCGAGCTGCGCGGCGCTCGCAGATTGCGAGCGCGCCCCTGGCGCCGGGCTGCTGGACCAGGCCCACCGGGGAGGGGTATTCGCAGGCGCCGCCCCTCGGCTCGGAGGCCCCTCGGAGGCCCCTCGGCGCCTCGGAGGGGCGCCGAGGGCGGCGCCCCTCGGAGGCGCCGAGCGGCGCCCCTCGGAGGCGCCGAGGGCGGCGCCCCTCGGAGGCGAGCCGGCGCCGTCGGCAGCCTCGCGGGCGGGAGGCAGCGCCCGGCCCTGGCGACGGCCCGGCCGCCGCCGAGGCCTGCCCCCGCGGCAGGAGCGCGGCGGCGGCGGCCGGGCGACGGCGGCGGTCCCTGGCAGGAGCCGCGCCGAGCTGCCCCCGCGCGCCCGCAGCTCGCTGGATGGCAAGGGGCTGTGGGAAAAAATAGCACGTGGGAAAAAACACACACACACACACACACACACACGTGGGAAAAACACACACACACACACTGTGGGAAAAAAACACTGTGGGGAAAAAACACACACACACACACAGTTGGAAAAACACACACACACACAAAAAAAAAAAAACACGTGGGAAGTGTGTGTTTTTCACACTGTGTGTTTTTTTCCCACGTGTGTGTTTTTGTTGGCTACTGGGCGCCGCTGGCGCCGGCGCAGGGCGCGCTCACGCGGCCCGCAGCCCCAGCAGCAGCAACGCCCCGGCGACGCGGCGCCGGCGCCGGCGCAGGGCGCGCCGCCCCCGCCCGGGGCCTCCCGCAGCGGCGGCCCCTGCGGCATCGAGCGCCCGCGAGGCGGGCGACGACGCGGCGCCAGCGCGCCGCCGGGGTCGGCGCCGTCGCAGCGGAAGCAGGAGCCAGCTCCGGCCGTTTCGCGCTCTGGAAGCTGCTCCCCCCCTCCTTCTCCCAAGGGGGGGGGGGGGGCTCAGTTACTCGCCCCCACCCTTGGACCTCCTCTGCCCCCCCCCCCCCCCTCGTTTGTTTTCGGCTCCTCGGAAGCGACGCTCCCCGCCTCCCCCGCCCCCGCCCACAGGCGTCGAATACACAGAACACTGCGAAATCCAACGCTGCCCCAAAAACCAAAAAACAAAAATGCGAAACACAAAAAGGCGCGGAAATATGACAGAGCGCAGAAACCCAGATGAACACGAAAAACGGAAGAAGCGCCACCGAAAAGAACACCAAAAACGAAACGAGCGCCAGAAACTAATTAGAAGAGCGCCGAAAACCAAGATAACGCCGAAGACCAAAGGCGCGCCAGAAACAAAAAGCGCGCCGCCAACCAAGAGGTCGCCACACTCAAAGGATGCGTAGGAAAATAATGGCGCGCCGAAAACTAAACGAGCGGCAAAAACCAAAGGAACGCCGTAAACCAAAAGCACACCGAGAACCCAAATGGCGCCAGGAACCCCAAAAGACCGAAAGCCAAAGGAGCGCCGAAAACCAAAAAGGCGGCGAAACCCCAAAGAACGCCGAAAACCAAAGAACCAACAACGCCCCGAAAACCAAGAGAGCTTCGACAACCACAACGGCGCCGCAAACCAAAGGGACGCCGGAAAAAAATGCTCCGACAACCAACAGCGCTCGAACACCAAAGGAGCGCCACAAACACAAAGAGCGCTGAACCTATCAAGGGTCGACGAAAATCAAAGAAACCCGAACAAACCAAGAAGGCGCGGTAAAATCTACAAATGCGCCGCAAACCAAACGAGCACCGAAAACCAGGAGGGCACCGAAAACCTATCAGACGCCGAAAACCTTCGATTGGCCGAACTCCGACATAGCGCCAACAAAACCTTAGGACGCCGATGGCGCCCAAACCTAGACGATGGCCGAAATCAAAAAAGGCTCCAAAAACCACAAGAAGACCGAAAACCAAAACGACCCCGAAAACCAACGATGCCCCAAGAACCCACAGTTTGCCGAAAACCAAAGCGGCGACGACCAAAGATGCGCCGAATACTGGAGTGGCCCCGACAACCACATGGACGCCCCTTTCCCTTGGACGATCCCTGCTGGAAGCCCCCCCTGCCTCCCTCCCTGTTCGGCTAAACGGGGTGGATGACTTGGAAAGCCCTCCCCCCCCTGTGGCTAAAGGAAGGCTCCGAAAACCCAGAGACCGCCGACAACAAAAGGGCGACGAAAACCAAAGACGCGCCGAAATCCAAAAGAGCGCACAGCAGCAACAAAAAGACCCCAACACCAGGCAGGGGCCAAAATCCTAGAAGGCGCCGAATGCGAACAGAGCGCCGAAAACCAACAAAAACTCAGAAAATCTTAAAGAAACCGAGAACCAGACGGGCGCCGAAACCCAAAGAACTGCCAGAACCCAAAATGGCGACGACAACCACAAGGGCGCGGAAAACCAACTGAACGCCGAACACCAAGCGAGCGCCAAAAGCAAAGGAGCCGCGAAACCCAACCGGCGCCGAAAACCAACCGATCGCCGAAACTGCCGACGAACACCATAAAGGAGGCCGGAAACCGACGAGGAAGCGCCGAAAACCCAAGGATACGCCGAATACCAAACGATCGTCGAAAACCGTGGCGGCGCCGAAAACCAAAACAGCGCCAAACAACAAAAACGCACCGAAAACCAAAGAGGCACCCAAAACCAACGGATCGCCGATGTTAGCTGCGAAAAAAGGGGGGGGCCTTCCGAAGCCCCCCCTCTAAGAAAGAGAAACCCTGGCGAACCTTGGGCCCCAGAACAGGAGGGAGGGGGAGGGTCCTTTGAAGTCCCCCCCCTTGGTAAGAGGGGGAAGGGAGTTTCGGACCCCCCTCCCCCCTTTTCCAAAGGGGGGCCCAGGCTAGCCTTGGGCTCCAGAAAACGAGGGGGGTAGCTTTCAAGCCTCCCTCTCCGGCAAACAAATCTCAACTGCGAACATGAAAGGGGGGTAGCTTCCGCACCCCCCCACCCCTTTGAAACGGATGTCTGCGGTAGTTTCCGAGCCCCCACACCCCCCCGCCCAAAAATGCCCACAAAAGGGGGGGAGGGGGGGGCAGCTCCGGAAGCCCACCCCCGTTCCGACGGAGGGGGGAGAGGGGGCGGGGGGGGGGGGGTAGCTTGAAGCCGGGGCCCCCCTTTAGATGAAAAGTGCGCCACAAACGCGCTGTTTCCTCATCCACCGACTCCCGGAGCCCAGGCCCGAAATGGTGGGGGGTGGGATGGGCGCGGGCGCGGGGAGGAGCAGGGGCCGAGGGGGCAAGCAGAGGTGGCCGGCAGCTCTTCGGAGCAAGCGCTGCTCCGCCGGGCGCCCT